GGGCCCGGGCTAGATTCGAACCCACCACCTTAGGTGTATGCGGCTGGCGCCTTGGCCACTTGAGCCACAGGCGCCGAGCCAGGGATTGTTATAGATTAAAAGGGAATAAAGAGGTATAGCCAAATGCATATGAACTTAGATAGGATCTAGTTCAAAAAGAGAACTTCTGGGTGGCATCTGTGGCTCAGTGAGTAGGGTGCTGGCTCCATGTACCCAGCGTGGCAGGTTCAAACCTGGCCTCGGCCAGACAAACTGCAACAACAACAAAAAAACAGCAGGGCATTGTGGCAGGCACCTGTAGTCCCAGCTACTTGGGAGATGAGGCAAGAGAATCGCCTAAGCCCAAGAGCTGGAGGTTGCTGTGAGCTGTGACGGCATGTTACTCTACTGAGGGTGAGAAAATGAGAATCTGTCTCTTAAAAAAAATACGGCATAATGGGTTTTTGTTTGTTTTTTGAGACAGTGTCTGTCACCCTACATAGAGTGCTATGGTGTAATAGCTCACAACAACCCCAGCCCTCAAACTCCCCAACTCACGTGAACCTCTTGCCTCAGCCTCCTCAGTAGCTGGGACTGCCACCACAGCTGGTTAAGTTGTATATTTTTTGTAGAGGTAAGGTTTCCCTGTGTTGCTCCGGCTGGTCTGGAATTCTTGAGTTCAAGTGATTCTTCTGCCTCAGCCTCCCAAAGTGCTAGGATTATAGGCACGAACCATTGAGCCCTTCCTATGTATCAGATTTATGTAATTATTCTGTGGATGGACACTTGGGTTACAGTCATAGGTGTTAGGGATATAGTGGTTTCTGGAGTTTATATTTTAATGGAGTAAACAATAAACATAGGAATAAGTAGCATCATTCCAGGTAGAAGAGAGTGTAAGTTAGGTGGGCAGTATAGACTTCTCTAAGGAGGTGGCAATTTTGCTGAGACCTAACAAATGGGTCATTTGAAAAGCTGGGGGAAGAAGCACCAAGAACCACCAACACCAAGGTCCTAAGGTGGCAGCAAGCACGATATTGTCTTTTTTTTTTTTTGAGACAGTCTATGTTGTCCTAGGTAGATTGCTGTGGTGTTACAACTCTTAGTGACCTGAAACTCTTGGGCTTAAGTGATTCTCTTTCCTCAGCTTCCCAAGTAGCTGGGACTACAGGCGTCAGCCACAATGCCCAGGTATTTTTTTTGTTGCAGTTGTTATTGCTGCTTAGCTGGTCAGGGCCAGGTTCAAACTTGGCAGCCTGGGTGCATGTGGACTGTGTCATAACCACTGTGCTACGGGTGCCAAGTTGAAAAAATTATTTATTTATGTTATTATTTTTGAGACAGAGTCTCACTATGTTGCCCTCAGTAGAGTGCCATGGTGTCACAGCTCACAGCAACCTACAACTCTTGGGCTTAAGCAGTTCTCTTGCCTCAGCCTCCCAAGTAGCTGGGACTACAGGCACCTGCCACAATGCCTCACTATCTTTTTTTTTTTGGTTGGCGGTTGTTGTTTGGCAGGCCTGGACT